AGCATCGTAGTCGGCATCATCAGTTGGTATCGTCATTCAATTTGATTGTCGTCAGTTTGTGAGTATAAAAAGATCCCACAATTTGTAAAGGGTTATTTTACTCTACTTGGTTTTATGTTGTACCGGCATTAACAATGTTAATAATGAATTGATATCGAGGTTAGGCTTCAGCTTCTACATCGTCTAGGCCTCCTGAATAACCCATGGGATTCGAATTATTTATATTACTGGTTAAAAGATAAATATGCCAACGCATAATCCCTAAGAACCTAGCTCCATTAGTTTATGCTATAATTCTGGCTTTCAACGCAAAACTATACTCTTGTAACTTTACTACCTTATTGCGAATTTTGTACTAATAGACAACTTGCTACTCCGAAGAAAGTGCAATTAGTAGCAGTTTCGTTTACCAGTAGAAGAGGCATGATTGCTGCAAAAATGTATTAATATCAACTTTTTTTGAACAGGCTGTTGGCGCATCTATCTTCTACGAATGTAATAGAAATCTTGACTTCGTATTGAGTTTCGCTTCAGAGTTTTCTCTCAAATGTCCCTGATAACTAAGAAATAACTTTTAGCATATCGAGTTTAATGTAGTGACACCGTTACCAATCAGCACAAGTTGTCCCCAAAGTGACATGCCATGCGACAAACTTGATTTGCCTGAAAAACCATAAGGGTTGTTTAGCTCAATGTGATTCTAGTCATGTATCTTATGGCTTAACGTATTTGCTTCCTGTCCTGCTACATATAGTTATTCATGAGGCATGTCGAAAACTTAAGTCAATTATATTTGTGAAATACCTTTGGGGCTACATTGTGTAGTAAAATTAGATGCAAAAATCAGGCTTTCTCTTGGATTAAGAATTTTAAATGTCGCTAGCAGCGCAATATCAAAATAAATAAGAATCGATATACTTCTAGAACATTTAAGCTTCTGATGGCTCTTGAACCAAACTAAGGATAGAATTCAATAGTTAACTGACCATCATTTAGAGAACGGCTATTAAGCATTCGCCAAAAATTTTCACTAAATATTTTATTTGATAACTTTATTTACAATAATGAATTTATCCTCAAGCAAGCAACTTGATTTTTGTTCAGTTATAATAATTGTTTTTTGAAATTATAAAATACCAACCAAGTCCTTATACATCCAATCAGATTACCTATAAATACATGCCAAATTTTCCAATTTTTAATTTAATTTCTTGCTTTCGTGTCCCCCAAATTTATTAATTAATGTATTACTTGACTAGATTTCTCAAGTCTGGAAAAATAATAAATTTGGAAACGGCTAGGATACAATAATGGAGCAAGTGACTATTATCCTGAGAAGAGATTATTTTCATTCCAACAATTATTGTTTTTGCCTTATTTAACTTGCAACAGACAGGAGAAGCCTTCCACGGTAGAGCAACACAGCTTCCATCTCATCTCTCCAACTCCCTGATATCACTGAAGACCTCGAGATATACTTCTTCTTCTTCCCTTTCTCTTCCTCTCCTAAAAGCCAGGTCTCTCCGCTTCTGTTCATTAAAAGGTAATTTGCAGCAACAGTCATTACTGAGACCGGTCACAGCGACAATGGAATCTGCAGGTGACATTGTCAACGATGATGACTACGGAAAAGAAAATTATATCAAAGATAGTCTCGAGTGGTCTGGATTAGCTGAATCAGACAGACCCTACTCGGCTGGCAGGGTGGAAGAGCGATCAGAGCAGAATTACTTGACAGCTGGGCCCTCCTATCTTCAAGTCAGGGGTCAGCAGACTGTGCCTATTTTGAAAACCCATAGAAGAGAGTTGGATCGACCTAGTATAAGCAAAACCGATAGAAGCTTTAATTGGAGTCCCAATGTACATATATTCTGCGCCTCCAGGGAGGTGAGCCCCACATAATAATCTAGTAGCCAAAAAAGATATTTAAAGCCTACTTGATTCTTTAGTATGTTAATAAATTATATGTATTTATATTTAATTATATTTATAGTAAGTGATTAATTAAGCTTAATAAATTTTCGAAGAACTGTTAGATTTTGGTGAAAACATACTGAGTTTCGTGTGGTATGTGATAGACTGCTATCTTTTGGCTTTACTTGGGCGTTCAGGCTGACTCAGTCCTCGAACTACCTCCATCAGACCATGGTGATAACGTACTGCGCTTTAATCCATAATATAAAAGACATTATTAGAGCAAGGAGCATTCTAAAGTCAGTCTTGAACATTTACTAAATTATGAAAATTAACCGGCTAAACTTCGCTTGCTATAGGCACCCATAAATCTGTTGAACTAAAAATATGCATAGAATGAAAGTGTTTTATTTCATATTCATGTTTAATATGCTTCGAAACAGCCTTTAGATAATTATTTTCTTACGATATGTACATAAATGCTTATGAATACATATAATGCGAGCACACTATACCAGAGTGTAGTCAAAACGGAGCAGAACATTTTGTTCTAAAGTCTTTAAGTTATGATGAACTATTGACCTATCTTTATGGTTACGTAATGTTGAACATTTGCGTGACTGATATAATTAGCTTATTCGCCTAGGTGCAGTAGGTGTGATATAAATCAGAATCAAATTCGAAGATATATTTGTTGAGCTCACCTTTATTTTGGGTTAATTGTGTGATGAAAACCTTTAAAGGTCGATCCCATCAGATGAAGTAGATAGCAGATTCCTCGTAGCCAGATGCCTTTTGGCCCTACTGGAGCATTTCGATTGGTTAATTCCCCTAGTCTGTCAACTTTAACCCCATTTTAAAAGAACCCAACTTTAGTTTATCATATAATGGATAATATCTAAGTAGTCTATCCTTCTCAGGGCTAATTTAATATAATAGGTGTTGAAAACTCATCTGCTTTTCTCTACATGCTGTATATGGATTCCAAATCTGTAAATGTATATTTCACATATTGTAGTATCTAGGTATTGCATTCCTTCGTAAGGCTAGACTTGAAGACAGTTTAGAAAAATTAGATAAGATAATAGGAGCTAGAACCAAGATTTGATAAATCCTTTCCCTGCTGTTTTGTTAGGTAGATTTTGTCAACCTAAAGAATATGGTGGACGAATGAATGGAAAGGACGGATACAAATAATAAATACCTTTAAGCTTAAAAATTAATGGATGTGAACATTTGAATAGTATGTATCAAGACCAAGTTGATGTGTTGTTTTGCTTGGTCGCATAATCCAAAAAAATATATGCTACAAGGAGGAGAATAATAAAATTAATATTAGTTGTAGATAAATAGTTTGACCTTGTTTTCGCAGCTTAGTCAATTTGATAGGAAGACTTAGAGGAACGCATCTTGTCCGGAGACCATAAAATTCATGATAATTTTCAGAGTCGGACCTTGGAAATGGTACATTCCCAGGCGTTTCGCTGGCATCATAGTCGGCATCGTCAGTGAGCTTTGCCATACTTAGCACCACATTACAACTCGTCAAAAAGACAAGTGAAGACGAACCTTTGACCAATTGTATGCTAAACAATCATGGTATCTCTGCTTACCCTCTGGGTTGATCATCAATCCTATATCTTCGTATCACGCCTTCCTATCACAAATTTTTACTTTCTTATTTAGCATCGTGTGCCCTTTTTAGCGGCTTTCATGAGAACTCTCGACACTCCACTCTGGCTTTCTCACCCCCCCTCATTCTATTTCACCCTTTTGCTGGGAATGTTGATCGGAATCTCGCTCTTGTCCCGTAGGATCAGACTACTATCTCATTACAAGTATTTTAATCAAGCCTGTCACTCGCATTATTTCCCACACCCTGCCTCTGGGAGATTAACTTGAGGCTAAAGTCCCCGAGTAATTCTAATGGTCAAGCCTTTGCTTCATGGACCAAGTCTATGGTATAACAGGCCTACTTTCAGCCAACTTGCTCTGGTCTCCACCGCGTCTATCCTGTTTCTATCCTCAATACCATGCATATGACTTCCTATGCCATAATTTCTTGTGTGTCAATACAGAAATATTGTGGTTTAACCTTAAACCTAATGAAAGCAAGCAGTACCACAACATTTGTCGGTTGGCGCACAAGAGATTAGGGCATAGGACGTCATAGATTTGTTATTAGGGCTAGAAAGAGGATAGACACGGCGGAGGCTAGAGCTAGTTGGCTGACAGTAGACCTGTGTTAC